CATCAGTGTTTTATCCTTTCTCCATATGTATTCAATCTGTATGCTGAACACATGATTTGAGAAATTATTGATTTGAGAAGCAATGTGAAAAAGAATCGAGATCAGAAGATTCATCAATAACCTATGTTATTCAGAAGACACACCTTGCTTGCTGAAAATGAAGGGAACTTGAAATACTACAGAGGCTTAAAGACCAAGCATCAACATGAAATGCATTTAAACATCCAGAAGACAAAAATCCTCACCACTGGACTGCCAGACAATATCGTGATAAATGGGAAAAAAGTTGATTTGGTCAACAATTTCATGTTACTTGGATACACAATCAATACTATTGATACCAGCAATCAGGAGATTAGCATTGGACAAGTCCCCTGTCAGTGATTACTGACAATTACAAATTACTGAAAACTAAAGATTTCCGTTTAAGGACTAAAGTCTGCCTGATTCAGACCATGAAATTTTCAATCATTTGCTATGAATCTGAGAACTGGACAATGAATAAACATGACAAGAAGAGTTAATACTTTTGAGTTTTGGTGTTGGAGAAGAGCAGTGAATATTCCATGGAATTGGGGAAAAAAAAAATCAAACAGATATGTCTTGGGCAAAGTGTAGCCAGAGTGTTCCTTGGAGGTAAGGGTGGTGAAACTTCATCTCATATTCTTTCGGCATTGCTAAGAGAAGCTATTTCTTGAAATGTATTATCATTCTTGGAAAGGTAGAGGGTAAGTAAAAGGGAAGAGCATTTTCAATGACATGACTTGACATAGTCACTTGTAGCAATGGGCTTAAGCATGTCAGACATTATGAAGATGGCCGAGGAAAGGACAGGGTTCAGAGCTGTTGTTCACAGAGTTTCTATGAGTTGTACTCAACTCAAAAACCATCTAACAATAGAAACAACAAGGAACAATAAGCATAGAAATGACTATCGATGTAAGGATGATAAAAGAGTGACTTACTGGAGTTCTTTCTTATAAGGGATGGAGAATAGATTTCAAAATACAAGAATAGGATCTGACTCTTCCAATAGTGCAGCTGGTCAATAAAAGACAGAGAAGGCAAAGTTTGTGGGCACCATTAATAATCTCTAATTATATAGAGTCTAAAGGTGACTTAATGTATAAGATATTGTCAACTAAAAGGTAGGCAGTTTGAAACCATCAGCCATTCTGAAGGAAAAAGATCGACAGTCTCCTGTTTGATTTATAGTCTAAAAATCTGCTGGACATTCCACTTATGAGTTGGTTCCAATTCTACAGAAATGATAGTGTAGTCAAAGTGTGTGCAAAAAAGTGATGAGATTGACGACTGTGCGCTTTTAACTCACAGAGTACAGAGGGCATTAAATATATGAAAGAACAGTGAAAATTTGAGATATGTAGGGTCAAGTAATTGCTGAAGACAAAAATTAACTAGATAAATGAGTTACTGTGATCGGAGGTTGTTGTTGCTGGTCTGCACCGTTGAGTATCCTATGACTCATAGTGACACTATGTACAATAGCCCTGTCCTGAGCCAGTCTCACTGACTCCAACACAGCAACCTTCTTCTGCAGCAAGTGATTCAAGTCCTCTTCAGTTTCAGCAAGCAAGGTTATATAGGGTATATATAGCTTTGCATGATTAAACTGGATCGAAGACAAGAGATAGGGAAAAGAAAAAATAATGGGGTAATGAGGTTAGGAGTACATGCTACATGAATACTAAAATTTTCAAGAAGGTACAAAATCTTTCTGAAATGAGAAGATATGGTTCAAGAACTGGAGAGTGACAACAATGAGGATGGTGAGTAATATGCTTTGGTGACATCAAGACCCAGAGAATGTAAGTTGAGTGTGGAATGAAGGTTACAATGAGCAACAAAAAGTCTTCTGCTACATGTCTACATCCAGTAGAGAAAGATTTATAATTCCTGTGTATTTTAGCTCTTGCCTATTTTGGCAGTCTTATACAGGCTTATTGTCCTGTTTCCCTTACATTTTAGGGGTGAGGGAACCCTTTTTCAGTTCTTTGTGTATATCAATTTCACTCCTAAAAAGTCCTGGCAATGCTTTTTGGATTGTATTTGCACCAGTGGAAAAAAATCTGTTTGACTAACTTCTCACATTAATTTCTCTAAGGTTGGAGGGGTTGCCCATAGTGCTTTGGGCTTTATAATTATTTCATCTTATTTTATTATAATTTCTTGGATACATTCTTCATTCTAGTATGCATTTCTTGACTCAGAGACAATAATTGATTTATAATCTAGTCTTGTTATTGTTGTGTGCCATGGAGTCAGAACTGACCTATAGTTAACCCGCCGGTGGATTTTCAGAGGCAGTAAATTTCATGGGAGGAGATTACCTATTCTCCCATGGAGCAGCTGGTGGATTCGAACTGCGTGCCTTCAGGATTGCAGCATAGCTTCTTACCACCACTAGGTCGCAAGAGCTACCTAGCAGGTATCAAAGCCCTAGCAAATGCCAAAGACCAAAATAATATTATAAATATTTATTGAATATGAGTATTATGGTGGATAAACAGCACTTACAAAATTTATTCTTTGACATACAATTAAAATGTCACATAGAAAAAGTTTGTTTTCTCCTTCTGTTGCACTTAAGAAATGACGACTACAGTTATTCTCAGACATTTGTTTGTTTTATTCCCTCTAAAGAATCAGAAAAGTTGGTTTGAACAGATGACCTCCTTTTAAATTTTTTATTTTGCATAAGGAAGATCAATAACTGGAAAAATATTGCTTTGTACTCTTGAAAAAATGAACAAATAAATCCATCTGGACAAGTGTTCTTAAAGTGTTTTGTTTCTAAAACCCTAGAAAGATAAGAAGAAAATTAATGTACTCTGAAATCTGACAGTAGAAATGTGGATAGACACCAATGGTTAGTGACTTGGACTGCTAGGAAAGTATTTCTCCACAGAGATCAAAAGATCATGCATGGTTGGTTGGTTTGTTTTTTAACCTCAGTGTAACTTTACTGGATATTCCAAGCATTGATTAAAATTCCATTAACTATCATATTGTTCCATAGATGATAATAGGAAAACACACAATAACACGAAGCCTTTTCCATGAGGAAGCTGCATTCCACTTGAGGAGGCAGATACATCAACAGGCATTTTAGTGAATGTCACAGTGACAGAATGATTACCCAGTATTATTGTAAAGCAAAGGTGCATGTTTTTTAAAGCTAAGACTGCTAATATTTAGATAATTACCACTGGCTTTGAAAACTTCTTAAAATATCTACAGTATCTATCTTAAGTTTCCCAAATATAAAAAAGAAAAGGAAATAGAAAGATGAAATAGAAAAAAATATAGTAGCAACAAAGAATAAGATTGATCCTGAGGATATTTATTTATTATCTGAGTCTTTCTCAGAATCAGATTATTACTTGGAGTTTCTTTGCATAAATCAGAAAAATTATATCCTTTTCATCTACCCTGACATGTAACTGTGAAGTCTAAGTACAATGAGGCATGCACAGGTATCAAACACTTTGGCCTAAGTTTATAAGACACTCTGTATCATAACAGACAGACATAAATGGGACTGTGCCTTAAACACACTCAGGAAAGTACCAGCAGATGTTCTAAGTAGTGTCAATAGAAGAGACAAAGAGAGGAAAAGGTTTTAGCTAGTGAAAAATGTAATTAGAACAGGTATACTCTAGAACTTTTGGCACATTACAAACTTGTTTTGTGTCTCGCTGTTTCTTTGTTAACTGATCTCAGGATTTGTGACTAAATTAGGAAAACAGAAGGACTTCCTTTTCTGTATTGAAAATATCTCCCGCAGGGAAGCTTTCATGTTCATGTCTAGGATTGTAGAATCAAGAATCTTGATAAAACTGAACCATTCATACTCCTCCTCTTTCCAATAGAGGTACTTTTAACAATGCCAACACTTGGAAAATAGGGCCATAAATCACTTCAATAGACCAACAGAATCCAGCATCATAATTGGACCACCCAGAATTGGATAGAACAAAGTGCAACTCAGGAGAAAAAGTGCTTGATGATGAGACAAACAAATCCTTGGGCTTTCTCCCAATGCTTTCCTTATTATACTTGTACTTTCTAGGCCACAGCTGTTCTTGAGGCTCAACTTGGTGAAACCCTCATAATTCGTCTGCCTTGCCTTCTCCCAAACCATAAGTGGTTGATATCACTTAAATTTCTAACTATTAACGAACTGTAAGAATGTCTGCTTAGTAGGAATGGATTCCACTTAAATTTGGGTGGGTAGGGAAAATTTCCTGGAAATCTATCTTTAGCAATGAATACCATTTAAAGAGATGATAATAGGGGTAAATATCACATGCCAGTCAAAACAGGAATGAAGCTAGAGTGGACTGCTCATTTGTGAGAAAAGATTCATAGAAAGGAAGTGGTGACTCCCATAAGAAAGAGTAGGCTTCATAGTGCTCAGTATTTGAAATCTGGGGCCCTCACACTGTAAAGTAACTAGGAAGGAATAATGGATCTATTCTTTCAATAATTTACACTTTTCATGAATTCATTCAGTCAGCAAAATGAGATTATACAAGTCTAGTTCATTATGACTCAGAGAGTTGAAGGGTTTCTCCAGATTCAGCCTCTGGTGAGGGGCCCTGAGTCTCATTAAGCCTTTGTTTCTTTTGATCACACCAGTTTATAGTCATTACATTGCACTGTGTTATGACTCATTTTGAGGGGATGTGAATTCTTCAGTGGTTGGTGTAACAGGAGATGACAAAGTCCTCCAAAAAGGAGAAAGTGAAAGTGTTTTTTCGGAAAATACTTGGCAGAAACTGTTGACAGGCATCAAACTTGATTATTGATATGGCTCCAAACCAAATGTGAAGAAAAACAGTATGTAGTCAAGACTTCTTTTGTATTCATTGTTTAAGAAGATCTTGGTCACCAGAACTCATTACTCACAGAATAAAATTTGAAGCACAGTTGTAAGGTGTTTATGAAGAAAAGTGAGAACTTTTGTCTTGTTTCAGAACACTTCAAGCTGTAGAGTTAACCAAGCACCAGCACAAACAGATCCATGCTCTCTCTGGAGGTATGAAGAGGAAACTGTCCATTGGCATTGCTTTCATTGGAATGTCTCAGACTGTGGTTCTAGATGAACCCACTAGCGGTGTAGACCCTTGTTCTCGTCGTAGTATCTGGAATATTCTCCTCAGATACCGAGAAGGTAGGTACTGGGCATTATTGCACTTTCCCTTCCTTTCATATTATGGCACAGAAAAAGAAATGCTATTGTGTCGGAAGAACCAAGGCATAATTCCATGAAGGTACATTTGTTGTTGTTGTTGTTATGTGCCGTCGAGTCGTTTCTGACTCATAGCGACCCTATGCACAACAGCCCTAAACCCTGCTGTATCCTGCGCCAACCACACCTCCTCTGACACACCCATCCCGATTACCCCAGTCACCGAATCAATCCATCTCATAGAGGGTCTTCCCCTCCTGCGCTGTCC